ATCTGCTTGTGGCACTATCCATCGTCACCGCGCCAGTCACTGGATATTCGAGAGGTCGGTGAACCTGTTGGAATCTAGAAGACACCTCCCAGCTGGCTCTGAACACAATGTGACCAGACGCGCTATTAGGCGCTAACTAATACGGAGCCTACGTGGACTAGTAGGGCTCAAGAAATGGAGGAGGCAGGAGCAGTAGGCAATTACCGGAAGCTCTTCCAGCTAATCCGCAACACTGTTCCTAGAAAACTAGGCGTCAGTGAGACAATAAGAGACAGCGCGGGTGCGCTGATACACAATAAGTAGCGCCGGATGGCTCGTTGGGCGGAACACTTTAAAGATCAGTTCAGCTGGCCCCCTGTTTCCGGACCTCTTCCTACTCAGGTGATGCAGGACGAGCCATGGATGGTTAGTCTGGAGCCTCTGTCGGAGGCCGAGGTCCGAAACGTGATCACAGCCCTTAATCATTTTCGTGCAACTGGCCCGGCTTCCCACCCTTATTTATGGAGGAGGTGAGGTCCTCTGCAAAACACTGACCTCCGTATTCGGACGTACCTGGAAGGAAGAGAGTGTCCCGGCTAATTGGAGCGAATCGATTATAGTGGCATTATACAAGAAGGGCCGTCGCACAGACTGTTCTAATCACAGGGCTATTAGCCTAACGCCTGTTGTGACAAAATTATTGGCCGCGATTCTCATTCGTCGCCTCAATGCGGAACGAGAATGTCGGATAAGGGAGGTGCAGGTCGGTTTTCGCCCAGGACGTGGATGTATAAACTATATATTCACTTTGCGGCAGATGGGAGCAGCACCACGCATACCGCAGACCGACAATAGCTGTGTTCCTCGATTTAAAGAGTGCATTCCAGTCAGTCCATGGATCGATTCTGTTCGAAACACTTGTGCGGAATGGTGTTCCCACGAAATAGGTAAACATTCTTTGTGCTCTATACTCGAACACTACAGGCCGCGTCAGGGTCTACGGTGTCCTGTCGGATAGCTTTCCGACCAAAAGTCCCGTTCGTCAGGGATGTACGATTTCCCTATTTTTGTTCAGTTTCATCGTAGATTCTATCATAGGGCGTTTCCTTCCGGAATCTCCTGATGTAGGCGTTGAAGTGCTGCCTGTTGGAAGGTTAATTGATCTAGATTATGCGGACGATATCGTCTTGCTTTTCGAAGATGTTGGGGCGGCACAATCAACTCTGAATAGCCTGTCCAGAGTGGCCCCATTATTTGGTATACACTTCGCACCTTCAAAGTGCAAAGCCACTTGCTGACTTCTTGATGCTTCCTAACGAGGAACTCGATGTGGTTGATCATTTCACTTATCTTGGCAGCTGCATCAGCAAGGATGGGCGCATAGAATCTGAAGTCAGCTCACGTAATGCAAAAGTCAGTGCTACCTTTTTGAACCTGCAGCATCTTTGTCGACAGAAGGAAGTTTCCCTCCGTCTGAAAGGCCGGGTATACAAGGCTACAGTGAGGATCGTTCTGCTCTATGGTAGTGAGACTTGGCCCCTTCGGTCTGAAGATCTGATGCGCCTTCAAGTTTTTGATTATCGTTGTCTGCGAAGTATTGATGGTGTCGGATGGCACCAGCATGTCCGCAACGACGATGTGCGTAAGCGAGTACTAGGTGGTGATAGTCATGTTAGCTCCCTAGAACAACAGGTAGGACCAAATAAGTTGTGTTGGCTCGGGACCGTGCTATGTATGCCTGGTCACCGCTTACCTAGGAAGGCCTTGTTTAGTCTGCCAGGTGTAGGATGGCGGAAGGCTCGATGTGGACAGAAGTTGACTTGGCAGCAGAAAATGAAGTCACTGACGACCAAACTGGGTGCCGTTGTTTCGTCCCGCCTTCTGGACTGGAGTCCACGTGACTCGCCTTGTGCTTCGCTCTAGACTTTACAGGACATGGTTCGCAACCGACACCAGTAGCGCGTCTGCTGTCGTCTCCCAATCGGACTTACCGTTTGAAGTGTGTTTGATGCTGAGTTATCAGTGGGGTAATGGCTGTTTATGACGCGGGGCAGTGAAAACAGCAAGGAAGCTGTCTCGCCGATGCCGCCTTATCTTTGCACGATAGCCAGCGTTTTGTGACGGCAGATTGTCTTCACAAGCTGTAGGCACCTTGACCCTGAATGTTTGCTTAAGGCATTAAGGTTTTCAGGTGAGTCCCCTTCTCTCCCTCTCATTATTCTTTAGTTGATAGTTCATCATGTTTGTATGACAGGGAAGCATCAGTTCAAATGACTGATGTACTGCTGTTGATGATGATGATGCTCTTTAACTGCTGTTTTCAGTCATAGTTCCGCAAGGATTGTGTTGCGTTGCATCTGCCAGCTGCGGATTAATTCACCGGGGTCTGTTGTGACTGGACCATTGGCTTCAGTTTCGTCGGGCCCCTGACTCTCTAATTTGGCGATACGGGTAACCGTGTAATCGACTGAAGTAGGAGGTCGCAGGCACAGATAGCTTCATAGATGTAACGTCCTGCTTATAGGTCATAAGCGTGGGCTTTTTCGTTGCTGGTTGTCGATAACTCACACACGGCATCGACGAAAATAATTTCTTTTTTCCTACTCTCTGTATGGTGGTTGTTTTAATTATTTTTGTTTTGGTGGTGTTCGCTCTATGGAACATCCGGAATTATGTGTGTTTCACGGTCTTCAGTCCGCATGCGGTTTGACGGCAAAAGCACCGTCTAGAAACCATCTGTTGATCCCAGTGTTAATAGCATTAGCCGGGACTCCTCATCGTTCATCGAGGTTGGATGTCTAGCGATGCGCATTAAATGAGTCATCTTGGCTTGAACTCCGATTCTATCACAAACGCGATTCCACTGCTTTAAATCATCCTGCTGTTTTCCCTTTACGTAGTTTGATTTGGACACAGGAGCGTTTGTGTATATAAGTGCCAAGGCCCAGTAGTTCCGCGTGGTCTTCGGTAAAGTGGGAGACATGCTTTTGATGGCTTTGGTGACGTCTCTGCAAGTTGCACCTTGTACTTGACGCGTGTTGTGGTTGCGCAGGGTGGGGCTACGGAAGTCGTACTTTGATTAAATCGAGCAAAAACCTTTGCATAAGTGGATCGGCCTTTAGAGAGGTACGGCTTTTGTCGGCCAATCAAAACTGTGTGTAACCGCCGTTACATCCTTCGGTACATTGGATAAGAGGATATGGGCGATGGCAATTGGCCTGCTTCGAGTGTTCGCGACAACGAGTTGGTTTGTTTTACCCTAGGTTTCTGGTGATGCGTGGCCGTAGGAACGCCTGGCCCTTTTTCATGGTTTCGAGGTAGTACTTGGGGGGAAGAATAAGGTGCAAGCTGTGCCTTTTTCCTCCAGCAAAACAATATTTGCATTTAAACGACGTTCAGTTTCGGCGACTAGCTTGTCGTAGTTCTGTATCTAATGATAGTACATATTTTACAGTTGGGACTATCGTACCCTTAAAACAGAACCCAAGTGAGTCTGGTGTGTTCTTTCCTCTTTACTTCGTTTCGACACATTCTAACGCATTTTAAATGGTACCGGCTGCTGCAAAAGTAACATGGCAACCTACGTTTACTACCGCATTACATGTTTGCTTAGCACCAAATACTTCGTTTCAAGATGCCGAGGTTGTGGCCATGATGGTTGTATGGTCGTTGCTGGTTTGTAGGTAAGCATCTAGCAGTCAGCTAGTACTGGGTCACTGATGGTCAGGACAAGGTCAGATGACTGGCTCATCGCGCGTTGTGCTTTGCGTTCGTGTGCCACAGGGTCGCAGGTAGGGCGTTTGTTATAGACACCCATCGTGCTGAGCTGTAGGTTGAGGGCACCGGTGGAAATCAGGAGCGGCAAACTTTGAAGATTGCGTCCCTGAGCAGATTGTACAGAGGGAACGCAGGTTACTCTGTGGCTGCGATATATGGTAATGGAATTAGACTAGTGAAACCTTGATGGAAAGCTGGAAGTCTTCTTTATCGAAAGAGGTAAACTTCCTGGGATGATTGTGCGAAATTTTACGTGTGCACCAAAACAAATATTGTCCCAAATTTGTAAATCCGATAGAAACAATCTCTGCTGTAATTATTCCAAAGAAGATGCTTTCAGTATATGATGTTCGTCAAACCGAGACAAAATGTGTAAATTCAGCGAGGTGCGAAAAAGGGTAACACAGTAAATGTGAAGATGCTCGACGCATGATATGGAGCGGTCACCACAACAACGTGTACAGCGTACAGTCATAGTGATAGCATCTTGCCCGGAGTGTATTTTAGGAAGGCTGTTGAAAAAATATGAAATATAATGCGCCTACGTTTTAACGATATCACTAAAATAAAAACTGTTTTTATCATATGAAAATCTCAACTCTGCAAGACTGTATACTGACTGCATATGTATATTTATAAACTAAGAGCATAGTTTATCTCCTTACCAATAATCTTCATAAATTCCAAGCTGTCTGTCACGACATAGTTTGTTGCTGTAATCCTTAAAACAAGACAGACAGTTGCAGCCCATGGATGCAATAACCAAAAAAAGTTTAAATGATCATACGTGTTAATGTGCTCTGAACAGAGCACTAATATGAGAAGAATTTGGCAGCTTTAAGAGATAAATACTCAGAGTAAACATTGTCAATTTTCCATTTTTTCCGACATTTGCGCTCAAACAGGAAAAGAAAACGGTTTTAATAGACTTGCATTGGTTAAAATGATCTTAAAAAGAAGGCTAGATTTTCTGAAATCGTAACGAAATAAATTGCAAGTAAGCAAGTGATGTAATGTTTTAAATCACATTTTAGCAAATGTACTTAAAAAGGACGCTAGCAGTAAATGGGTTAGGTAGCGGTGGCAGAACTGTTTACTGTATCTTTCATGGAGGATGAAGTTAGCCCCACATTCATGACAGGACATCGAATGAGTAGCCATGCTGTAAAGGACATTCGTATCGATTATCGTTCAACAAATGATATCAACCGGTTGTGTAATTTGGTATCTTATGTTTCGTACAGTGCCAGCTTCCAGGCCCGAATTTATCACCTTCCAACCTAAACACGATTCAATAACTATCGGTTGGAATGGTAGCCAACCGACTCGAGTTGGGCTCATTTATCGAGTCGACTTCTGGGAAATAAATAGCACAATTGGAGCTGCTCCACTGGACACAATGACCACTCCATACACAAACATCACAATCGGACGTCTTCCATCGTGCACAATGTTCTACTTGGAAGTCACAGCATCAAATCTTTTCGGAAAGTCAGATACCGACAAAGCAATAGTGGAAACTTTACCACCAAGTTAGTCTGCAATTGTTATCTTGCAGTAGTTCTTCGAATGTTTGTAGATTTAACCTACTATCGAATTCATCAGGCAGAAAATCGATATATATATATATATATATATGTATGTATATAAATATAATGGACGTATTCAGTCGTTGGTCGGTACGACGTTGAAACCCCACTTGTCTTGCATAATCGATTTCTTCCATCAGGGATAATGCTTTAAACACAGACCGGTGATTCTTCCGCAAATGGATGGTCGAAGCGGACACTTTCCGTATAGAGATGTAGTGTTGGCTGATATTAAAATTTTTGGGTCCCAACAGCTCATGGCAACGATTTTCGTGCGGGTGGGATTAGCTTGCATCGGCTGTTAAAACAGTGGCTTTTCTGCTGATTTCGAAAAATAGTAAGAGAATATCACACCTTTCATTTTTCCCATAGGGTTGGCGCATCCGGTTTCGGATTTGGCTGTCACTGTGGCCAGTCACAGGACGCCTGCACCTACAGAGGGACTACGGGTTGGCATGCACTGCACCACGCACAGCGACAACCACACCCACTATCCAGTGTAAAACCGAAGGAATAAGACTGGGAGGCATGTGGATGAGAACCACGTTTCTTCAACGTAGCCGACCCACACTCCTTCACAGGCAAACATAAGCACGCTGTATTTGGGATCAAGTGCACACAAGTTGGTGGCTGGACCGTAGTCCGCTCCACACTGACTGCATGGAACCGCTCTTTGATCCTAACACGGCACAAGGACTGTGCACACCGTCCCCTCCAGCAACCACCAACTGTCTCCTGGAGCCAGTATGGACGAGGTAGTGGGTAATAGACTGGTAGGCACCTTGTCAACATGCACATCAAGCGCAGCCACACCTGGGATGTCAAACAACAGCCAATCATTCGAAATGCCGATATCGATTAAAGTAAACGCACATGACGACATAAATACTCGCTAAATGAGCATATAGAAGAAATTGGTTATAAGTGAATCCGTGATAAGTACAAAATGTCCGAAAGTTAGTTAAAAGATACCACGCGATAAGATTACGCAAGTTTACCACAATTTGCGTGAGCGACGTGTGCAAGTAAGGAGAAGGTTATCAAGTACGCAGAACAAACCAAATAACATGTAATGCATTTTATCCACATTAAAAAGACCTAGTTTAAGTGTAAGTTGGTTTAGCCCAACTGCGGTGAAGAAGCATCATGAATGCAACATATATATATATATATACATATACATATATATATATATATATATATATAAAACAGCCGCTGTTATATGACATAGATAATTTTTGATATTTAGATGTCTAAGTTCAATATTTGCGTAACGCACGATGGGATAAAATGTAATAGCTTTACACGACCCACAAGATGACAAATGCACAGTAAAAACAAAATCAAAATGTTCCGGCATGAAACACATCAGTAGTCTAGATATTGCAATTTATCATAATGTTGCGTGACGTTTATCATATGTCTGTGTGCCTTATGCTGAGTTTCATACTACACACATCATGCTTCACCGCAGTTGGGTTTCACTGACCTACATTTAACTAGATAGTCTTGACCTGGATAAAAGTTATTTCACGTTATTTGATTTGCTCGGTTCTGTTATTATGCTGCATATTCCGTGTCAGTTCTGCGTGATTATTTTCCTTCAAATCAGGTGTCGACTGTTTGATAGCGCCGGTGTGATATGAATGTTGACGAGGTGCCTGTCTAACACCCTGCACATTGATTATTGGCTCCAGGAGACTGCTGATCTGTGCTAGGGGGACGAGTTGCAGGGCCATCGTGACCGTGTATGGTCAAAGAATCATTCCAGGTAGCTAGTGTGAAACGGACTACGGCCCAGCCACTGCCTTGTGTACATCTGGTACGCATAATCCCCGAAGTAGTAAGACTGGAGTGCGGCTGCTGTGCATGTTTGGTGAAGTGTAGGCCGGCTCCCGTTCACACGCCTATCCGTTTAATCCTCCGAGTTTACACTGCATATGAGGTGTGTGGATGGAGCTGGGGATGGTGCAGCGCAAGCCACCTATGGTCGCTTTGTATGCGCAAGCGTCCTGTGACTGTCCCCTTAGAGGGCGCAGTGACAAGGGCATCCGGAACCGGATGCTGTCAACCATTACACAGATTTAACGCTAACAGCCTACCAAATGTCACGGTATTCGGTGCGTTCACCACGTGCTAGCAGTGCACTCCATTGTCAAAGAGTAAAAATGCTTCCTACAATCCAAACTGCATTGACCTTGGCCATATTGTTCAGAGCAAGAGTCAGCAGTGACTTATATGGATGTTTGTTTTCGGTTGGCATCTGATAGGCGAGATTGAGATTTTCTCAAAGTTGTCGCTAATCCAAGGAGAACATTTTGGTCAAACGATGGCGTAGTTCCTATTTGAGTCTGGGTAGTCCACGTGTTGTCTTGACAGCTCTTTTTCAGGGCTGTTCCAAGGGAGGAATATCTCGTTTTAACCATAGACAACAGGTTAGAAGCAGAAAGATGAGACTAGCTCGTCTGCGAATGAAACCAGGATGGACATGGGAAATTATTTGCAGACTTAAATTATCATATCATTGCACCTGCTATTAACGGCTGCATTACTTTTGATAAAACAGGGAGAAGAGTAATAGGTCGGTAGTTGACAGGATCCCATCATTTACCTTCTTTGTACGTGGACGTGCAAATAAGCCAAAGCGATTACCAGGATCGTTCATTTCGTAGATTCGCAACCACGTTTGACAGCGCTTTTCTGTGTAAAGTTAATTAGAGCTTTTTGCTTGAATACACTAAATTCAACAGGAAGCTAAGGAGTGGTATTTGAAACAGGAATTTAACAATGTGAGGAATGGTCACAGGTTGTCTGTCTATAAAGGCATCGCGGATTTATATGAAATAGGTCATACATCTGGTAGGCGAACATGTATATTAAATGATCGAAGATAAGCCATTAAAAAGCATTTTTCGGCAAGATATAGTAAAGACGCAACAAGGTTATGGTTGATCCACGGTGTTAGCCCTGGTTTGGGGTTCACACGAGACAATAACCACAGAGGTTGCATTAAAAAGGGGTATCCGCGCCCGTTACACAATTCCTTACTTGTCACTCCTGAAAAGCAATTGCTACAGAGAAATATCCTACGCAAAGAGGAAGGGTTGTGTCGTAGTAGCCGGAAGGCCATGATACAACTATCGGTTAAAGCAGCATTAAACAGTCGGCCAATGAATATGAAAACTAATCACCGGGAATGGTTAAGCAAGCAATCAGATAAGAAGTAGGCTAAGATGGACATTTGGAAAGGAATTAAGTGAAGTGATTCGTGATTGGGAAAAGACAACGAACAATAAATAGTAATTAACTACGAATGTATACGGGTTAAGAAGCGTTGCCTTACAGGTCTCGTTGGATAGTTAGTGGGGATATCGACATTACGATAATGCTAATAATGATAGTTAAACAGTTAATACTTTAAATATGAAGATAAGTACATCTTTGCTCCGCCCTAGTCCTGCAATCCGATTAGATTCACAGCATCCGCAGTTAACAACAAATAATCCCATTGCAAACGCCAGGTGTAGGATGGAGACCTAGTGCTAAATGACAGAATGTAAATGGATGAGTATCATCCAACTGTCTTTTAAATACTGTTAGTGTCGATGCAGAGACGACCGATTCTGGGAGAGCATTCCACAGGTGACAGACATAAATAGAAAATAAATTTCTGCGACACTTCAGACGGCTGTATTGTTCCGCTAGTTCCAATGAGTGGCCCCTCGTTGTTCTTGAGGAGCAGTAAAGGGCGCTAGACATGATGTGGGTCTCGCAGAATCAAGTATGCCATAATCAGGTCGCCTCGTAGTCTGCGATAACTTCCACTGAATAACCCCAATCGTTGCAGCCTCTCCTGGTATGAAAGATTGCGCATTTCCAATTACGTTCTTAGATGCCCGACGTTGTGGCTGCTACAGTGCATTAAGGTCGTGTTTCAGCCATGGATGCCAGGCTTGAATTGCGTATTCGACATGGGGGCGAAACATACGCACTGAGCATTTGTCGAAATATGGAGCTGTTTATTTGTCCAAACGCCCGTCGCAACAGCCCGACGTGTTGGTTCCTGGACCTTTTCGGATTGCCTGGAGCAACCCAAGTCATCTTGAACCAGGACACCCAAGTCACGTTCGAGAGTTGATTGTTGTAGTATATTCGTTCCGAGCGGTATGAGTAGCTGCTCTGATGTCGGATGGAAAGCACCTTGCATTTACTGACGTTGAAATGCAATAAGTTTTGGGTCGACCATTGATACACCGTATCTAGGTCACTCTGAAGCACATGTTGGTCGGCGTTCGCCTGGATCCTGCGCCAGATCTTGATATCGTCGGCAAACATTAGGAAGTTTGAAGCGATTCCCTGTGCAAGGTCATTAATAAACACCAAAAACAAACGTGGACCTAGAACTGAGCCTTGCGGCACACCACACTCGACTTGTATGGGGTCCGATAAAGAGCTCCGAACTCTGACCACTAATTGCCGTTGAAGTAGAAAGTTGGCAATCCAGCTTAAAAGAGGTCGCCGATCCCGTAATGCTGGAGCTTGGAGAGTAGTATCCGATGGTCTAGACGATCGAAAGCCTTCGAAAAATCCAGGTAGATCACATCAGCGCCTTCTCCAGCGTCAGCTGCCTCGGTCCAACTACTGCGTGTGATTAGTAAATTCGTTGTACATGACCGCTGTCGACGGAAACCGTGCTGCTCAGGCGTGTTGATGTTACAGTTTTCCAGATAGCACACCAGTGCATCGGCAACTATGGATTCCATGACCTTGGAGAGTATAGGAAGAAGGGATACTGGGCGGTAGTTGGAGGGATCAGTTCTGCTTCCACCTTTGTGAATCGGGGTTATTATTCCAAGCTTCCACATAGCGGGAACTTGATTCTGATCTAAGCAGCGCTGGAAAAACTGAGCTAAAGGTCCTGCCAGTTGGCTTGCTGCTGCTTC